TGAGGAGCTCGGATTTATCTATAGCATCCAAAAGGTGTAATGAAGGTGGTAAGAGGCCTATCTTCTTGGAAAGCTATGATAACCATTCCATGCGTCGGTTACAGTTTTCCATAAATTTCTTGGGACTGAACGTGCTAGTTGGCATGGCAATTTCATTGCATGAGTTTCTTTGTAGCAGTATTTGTTTAATGAGGATAGATCAACTGTACAACGAGGCTCACTGTCATGTTCAAGTGTGATGACCATTCTGTTACACCGTGTTGTAGATTTTCCTAGAGGTACTTTTTCAATAACTCTAAAATTAATTGGAGGCCACTCCATATCAGGTAAAATCTGGTGTGAACATGTGTTGAATGTTGAGACAAAGTATCTTTCAAGAAGCCAAGTTTCATCCTTTCATTGTTTTCAGGAGAGCAATCAAATGGAAGTTTGGTGGGTGCACTTGATGAGAGACTTATTTAGGGACAATCGCACAAATGTATGGTATTATTTTCACTGGATATTTCTCTCCCTTTAGTCTGGGGGCCTGAGTTAATAGCTTCGTGGAGGACACTACCTATCTCTGAAAAGTCTTTAGAAATAATACCCAATTGGGTCATTGCTTCTTTAGATGAGTAGAATCCGTTTGCTGGACTTACTTAAACCATTACAACATATTCAACTTTGTTGCCGTTAGGTTATTGTCCTTCAAGACGAAAAAGATCAATCCAAAATTGGGTTTTGTTGGCTGCTGACATGCTATGTTTTAAAGGTATTAAATTGTTTGCAATAAAACTTGTGCTGCCAAACCCTTTCCTAGACCATAGGCAAGGCTCTGCACCGGTGTCTGTAATAACGTGTAGATATTTCGGTATAATGGGAGGAAATAAGATACCGAATGCGTTGTAGTCTGATTTGTTGTTAGTCTCACACAGCTGAATTGTAAGGCAAACAAATGATTGAGCTGTGGCCCATTCATCATGGATAAATATGTGATGGTTTATTTCTGTGGAGCATCGCTTCACATTGGTCATCATTTGTGATTTTTTTTTTTTTTCGATTTGAATGATTATCTGCGCTTAACTTTAACACAAGTCCGATGGCCTCAGCATCTTTAGTTGCACTTAATTTCATATTTTTGGGATGATTCTGTCTTAATTTTAGAAGTGAAAAATGTAAGCTTCTTCCAACAGTCTAGACACAGCTTGTGAGATTTTGTGTTCCATTCTCTAGATTCCATCTTTTAGATTTTAAACAATCTAGATATTTGGCGGTAATATTTTTCCCTTTAATACCCTTTGTTTTCTAAAATTTTATACACTCGTTGCTGTTGATATACAGCCTACTGCATTTCGTATCATTTCCTTACCTTTTCTAAAAGCAATGATCTCCTTTATTGTTGCTGTGTTAAGAGAGACCCATTGTAGCACATCTTTACGAATGTCTGATAGTCCAGTAACAAGAATGTCTTGTATGATAACATCGGTTAAATCAACAGTTGTTTATGGGTGGCAGTGGCGTTGTACAGTGTAGTTGCAAGTAGCAAACTTGTTCTTCATTTTTGCATAGAATGATCAAATATTTTCGTTGTGCACTTGTCTCATTCGAAGAAGTTCGGCTTTTCTGACGCTAATGACCATAAAACCGAAACAGCTGTGCTGTCATCTCTTCTTTTCTAATATCTTTACATCTCTCAAACAATGTCCAGCAACAAAATTTGCTACTCTTCTTCTGAGATATCCTGGGGACAATCAATTTTTGTGTCTTTTGCTTTAAGAAGAGCGAATTTCAGTCAGTCGAGTTTGGAGGATGGTAAAATTTGTGGCTGTTGAATAGTGCAATTACAATTGCTTCGTTGGGACCTTCAATGATAACATTGCATTCTGGGGCTTAGAAAAGAAAAAAGATCATAAAAAATCCTACAGTTCTTACAACTTCAAACAAAATAAAATAAGTGAATTATGATTTCAACCACTAATAAAATGTTTTTTATCTTTGTAATAAGAGTGTTTCTTTAAAATTCCATAAGAATGCATAAGAAATCTTTCATTTGAAAATGGAGTTTTTCCTGACCTTTTGAAACTAGCTAGAGTTGTTCCAATATTTAAAGATTGTGGCATCTCAAAGTTTTTTAATTATAGACCTATTTCAATACTCCCGTATTTTTCTAAAATTCTCGAGCAAACAATGCATAATAGACTTTACAACTATCTCACAACTCACAAAGTTCTAAATAATAATCAGAACGGATTTAGAAAAGGGCACTCGACAACAATATTCAGTAATTAAATTAAAGAAATATTAAATGAGTTTGAAAACAACAAATATACTCTTGGAATGTTTATTGACCTCTCAAAGGCCTTTGATACTGTGGACCATGATATTCTTCTGTACAAACTTAAAAGTTATGGAGTCAAAAATAAAAAATTTGAATGGTTTTGTTCTTATCTTAAAAATTGCAAATAATGTGTATCTTATGACAAAACCTACACTAAATTAGAAAACATTACCTGTGAAGTTTCACATGGATCTATTCCAGGGCCTTTATTGTTTAATATTTATATCAACGGTATTTACTTATCATCTAGTATACTAAACTTCAATATTTTTGCTGACGACACTTAAGTATACTCACTCAAGTATACTAACATTAGGATAATCTTTACCACTATGAATTGTGAACTTGATAACCTTAATGAATGGTTTATATCCATTAAACTCTCTCTGAACCCTACCAAAAGCAAAGATACGCTCTTTTCTAAATCTTCTAAATCTGACACGTTGCTTTTAAAACTCACGGATATTTCAATAGAAAAAACCAAGTTGCAACAGACATTCTGGATTAAATTCTTGGGCGTTTTAATCAATGAGCAAATAACTTGAAAGAGCATATTAAATTAATAGAAAATAAAATTTTAAAAAGTATTGGAATTGTGTATAAAACTAAATATATGTTAGATAAAATCTGTTTAAAATTTTTCATTTATTCATAGCTATATTAGTTACTATAACAATGCTTGGGCAACCACTTATCCCTCTAGACTAACCCCTGGGCACTTATCCCTCTAGACTAACCCCTGATAAAAAAAAATTTGAAAAGTTGAACAAAAAATTAGTACAAAATATCAAATAATATATTAAAAATATATATTAATTTTATACTTTCGGGACTGACATAATGCTTTCTCGCCAATACAACGTACTAAGTCAACTTTTTTGTTTACATGTTCGCACATGCCTTGTACAAGATTTTTATCAACTTTTCTTAAACAAGAATGGATTCTTTTTTGCAGCTGATTTTCATTTTCAGCTTCCCAAATGGGTTCATACACGTAGCATTGAAGGATTGACCAGATACCTTCAATTGGTTGTAACTCTGGGACACATGATGGATTATCAATTTTTGTAACATAATGGATATTTTTCCGATCGAGGTAATTGGTCACACATCTAGCATAATGTTAAGAGGCCAAATCAGGCCAGAATACATAACTACCATTACTGTGATGTTTGTTAATAAAAGGAATCAATCGTTTGATGATGCAATCATTTTGTACACTGTTTGGTTATTTGCCAGGAACAATTCGCAGGAACAACAAATGGTTTTGAGATTCCACAAGGGCATATGGTAATCCACACAAGAATTTATTTTTCAAATTTGTTTTTGCGCTTATATATTACATTTTTTGGTGCATTTTTTGCTTCATCTGAGTATAATCAAGCATTAGAATTTTTATGTTAAAATGTAAAATAAGACTCAGGGTCAATAACAAAGTTATGTTTTCTGAATTTGCAACAAATTCTTCCACACTTCAGTTGCAAATGCTTTATTTGTTGCAACTGAAGTGTGGAAGTGTAACTGCGATCAGGGATTTCTTTTTTTTTTCAGTGCGATCAGGGATTTCTTTTTTCTTTAGATAACAAATATTTTGTTTTTTAATAATTTTACAATTTAAGAATGATCACACTTGAATTTATTTGCAATTTTTCTTGTTGAAGTTCCGGTACGATTGTTCAAAAGACCTTTCAGGCAATTGATGTTCCTAGCAGTCATAATTTTTATTTTTCTGCCAGATCCAGGTTTACGAGACTTTGGCTCATCGTTCTTCCAGTTTGCCATATAACGTTTGATTGTTCTTTCGGGGTGATTAGAGGCAACAAAATTCTCTACGATGCTCTCCGTTTTAGCGTTAGAATGCAAATTACAATAGTTGTACACGTGTTCAATTAATGTAGTTGGCTTCATTTTTTGAAGCCGACTACATTAATTGAAAATTAATGTAGTCGGTTTCAAATAAACTTTTTTATTAATTAAACTAAGTAAACAAAATTTCCAGTAAAAGATAAGTGACACTTTATAAATAAAACAATTAAAAAAGTAAAACTGGATAACTAAAATTTAAGTAAGTTTTAGCTTCTCAAAGATTGTGCAAATTTTTTTCACAAGGGATTAACGTGTATCTTAAAAAAAAAAAAACAATTAAGCCGCCTTATATTAAATGCTAATAAATACACCAGTGCTAATCCACTGCTTAGAAATCGTGGAGTACTAAATGTTTACCAATTAAATATTTATAATATTCTTTTATTCATGTTTAGATTAAAATATCATATGCTGCCTAAAATTTTTAAAGATCTTTTCCTTATTATAGATCATAAATATCAAACAAAGCATTCATTGCTTCATTATCAGGTACCAAAAACTTTGATAAAACAATCCGAATTCTCAATAACTTACCGAGGGCCACATTTGTTGAACTCATTTCTTCCAAATAAAGTAAAACTACAATTTCAATTTAAACCTTTAAAAGTATCTTAAAAACACAGTTACTTGAACATAACGTATCTCAAATACTATTTTATTTTTAATTTTTATTTTATTCTCTTTTTATCTAACTTTTCTTTTTGTTAAAAAGCGACATCATCCTTTACATCATTACTTATCTTTAAATTTTATTTTTTTATTTTTAATTCGGAAAAAAAAAGAGGATTGTAATGTTTTTTTGTACATGATAGCTTAGTTTTTGTTTAATATATAAATAATACAACGGGGCTGGATGATAAGTCTTTTGTCTCCTGCCTGCTCCCGTCACATTGCCACTTAACTTCATTAGTAAAGAAGGAGGAGTGAGCTTCTAGTTAAATGCTCTTCGACGGTCTACAGTGCTCCGTGATAAAACCGTAAGAATTTCTTGGAGCACCTAAATAGCCTAAATAAGGTTGTGGTTGAATATAGTCTTCACATATTCTTTGTTTTCCTAAATTAGTATTTTAAAAAACGCCACTTAATATACACAAAAACTGAAACTTTATTTTTTAAATGTATGAGCTGTTTATACATTTACGTAACTGTTACCTTCAACTTCCTTACATATGTTGCAATGGTATCAGCATAACAGTCGTGGAATCTTATTCCGAAACACATGTTTACTACTGAATGGAAATTTTGTGTCATTATTGAGAAATTGTTTTTGATTGAATAATTATTTCTTTTTTAATTATAGTTTACTTTTAATATATAAATACTTTGTAAAATAAAGTAAATTTAAAACTTACCTGTAGAAAAAGACATTAACAGTTCAACAACTGGATGGTAATTAAGAAGGAAAATGATCTAAAATAAACTTTTTCAAATTCAAAAGCTTTTTGAAAAATTTTTTTAGCATTTTTGCCATCCAGTCCACCTTCATTATACCCATGCCAAATAATTCCATGTTTTTTTAACCAGAGAGCAACATCAAGTTCCTTTCACGTTTGGAATCTTTGTTATAATCTTCATCAGTAAATGAAGTTCTGGAAGAGGGATTACATCAAGCACAAACATCTCTCTAGACTGAACAAGGAGACACAGGTGTATAAAATTCTTGTAGAGTTGCATAGAACATTTTTTAAATCCACTTTCAGCTAAGTTTTCATACATGTTTTTCAGCATATTTAACCATGACCAAGATAACATAATAACCATAAGATAAACCATAATAAGCATAACCAAGATTTTTTTTATTGCCATCACAAAACAAACATGAATATTTTACCCCATGTCCTGACAAACCCAAAACTACGTTGAGTAATTTAAGATCTGCGGGAAGGTAGAACTTTAAACTGTTTAGCTTTTATTTTTTTAAAAGAATTTGAAGATTTGTGTGACATTTGCAAATATTTTCAGAAAAAGTCAATAATATAAATTTGTTAACGCCAGTATTCTTGGTTTTTTTGGAGTCTTAATTTACTTTTCTATTTAAAACATTCATAATAATTTTTAAAGGCACTTGGTCACTATCTATTCCTACACGAATAATAATGTTACCGATTTCTAGTCTTTTAGCTGTACAAATATGATTAACTAGAGATATTGGATCTTTAACATACACTAACCTTTAACGACAATTTCAATAGTTTTATTTTTTTTAATGAAAGTTCCACTTTTTCCACTGAGTAATAGTTATTTAGAGCATGTGACAATATCTTAATTTTTTGGAAGAATTAGATTTCACACCTACTCAAATTACATTCCACATTCCACATAACTACATTCCACAATCTACTCAAATCTTTTTTAATTGCTATTGAATCAATAGTAAAATCTGGCATATCATTCTTTCTTTTGATATTATAGAAAGTCTGGCTAGAGGTAGATTTAAGGGTCGGCTTTTTCCCAATCTGCAGACTCAAAGCAGCTCCTCCAATCTGCTGACTCAATTGTTTTTAAACCTGAAAATTTGTAAATATGTTTAGGAATGCATAAAAATTTAAGTTTAAAAAAAGCTATAACATAGCTCTTACTTGTTAACATTTTTTGGTTCTGTACAATGTCTCTCTTACTACAGGGATGTTGAATTTCAGATCCAATTCTCTGATAACAAGTACAAAAAATTTCATCTATAACCTCCTTTGGTACTTCAGGTTTATTAATGTACATGTTTAATACATCCTAAAAAAAAAAAGCTATACTTATTTAAACTATAAAAAAAATTATAATTTTATAAATGTTTTAAAGGTAAATAATTGATCTACATATATGAGTTCTTTATAAATTACCAGAAAGTTTATAGATCTGGATTTATCTCTTGACATGATACACAGCGGGCAATCACATGTTAACCTATACTTATATATATATAAACAAATGTTAATTCATAGTACCTATAGTTTTTAACATATGCATAAGTTAGTACTAGTATTACCTTTAAATCTTGGAAGTTTTTTTATTCTCTCTGATGTGAGCAACCACCTCCCTAAAGTAACCAGCGATAAAATTTCTCCTTTTTTTTTAGTAGAGCACAAATAAATCTTGCAGCTTATACATAATCCAATATGGTTGAAAGGAAGTGTCGGATTATGATTAGTGTTGTTGGAAAGAAGTGTCGGATTATAGTTAGTGTTGTTGGAAAGAAGTGTCGGATTATAGTTAGTGTTGGCATACAATTGAATCAAGATTAGTTAAGGATTCTTAGTTCTTATCCCCACAACAAAAAAAAAATAAATTTTCTTGAAAAGAAATGATTCCTTGATTTGTTTGGCATGTTAGCTATATTAATTATGCTAGTTTGAATACAAATAAATAATAAATATGTTAGATTTTTAACAAAAGAATATACATACATACATACTAAATTTAGTAACACTTTGACAAGTTTTACTTTATATGATCATATCTTTTGAAAGCCAAGATAATTTTTATTGAATTTTTGATTATGTATCTAAAGCTTGATTTTTTGAGTCTCTCTATATAAACAATGAGTTTTCATATAAATACTTAGTTGATACTTTTGATAGATGGCTTATTGCTAAGAATATACCTATCATTGTCAGCCAAACATATATCAAGAATGAATAATAATATTGTACACTTTTTTTCAAATACAATTTTCTCAAAAAACAATTTGTTTCTTCCAACCTCTCGATGTTGGGATGTTTGCCCTACTAAAAAAATATTTTGTGTTGAAAAATACATAGGTTTTGCTACTATTACTATTTAAAAAAAAAAACAGTACATTAAAAAAAAAAAGTACATTACTAAAGAAATATTTGCTTAAATTTTCCTTTCCCTTTATTGTTCTGCAATGAGCAAAGGCAAAGGCAAAAATTTATTTAGAAAACGTGGCATCTATTCCGGTAATCCGGAAGCCCCAGATTGCAGTAAAATAACAAAAGAGATGAATCATTCTAGTGAGGCGTTTTTTTTTTGATGGTATTTTGCAAGATGAAAAGGTGGAGCGAAGCACGCAAGTATATTCCATTCAGCAGCTCAATGCTGGGACTCAAACATTATTAGCGTTTTTTTATTAAAAAAAGTCAGTAGCCATACAATTTCTAAAATATCCTAAAAGAGGATAAAAAATAATTTCTGAAAAGTATAAACTTTTTATAAATAAATAGTTCAAGATAAATCTTTTGTCGCTGTATCGCGACAAAAGATTTATGATCTATGGAGAGAACGAGTTGTTTGGTGTTCATTCTGACAAAAAAATCAACTTTTTAAGAATTATTCCTCAAGCGCCAACTCAGCGCTTGAGGAGTACTTCTGTACGCAAAAATGTTGGTCAATAACAGATATATAGTTAGTTTATTTTGTCGTTTTACACATTTTACAATGTTATCTTTAAATTCGAATAAATATATATATAATTACAAGCTGACAGGGGCAAGTAGAAGACATAAAGTCTTATCATCAAGCCCTTTTGTGAAATAGAGAAATATAAAATTTCTAAAATTCCAATAATATAAAAAAGAGTTAAATTAAAAATTTTGAAAAAATAAACAAACATTCAAACAAAATTAAAATAAAAATAAAAAAATTTAAAGAGTTTGAAATAAAGTAAAAAGATTGAAAAAAATTAAAAAGTTTAAAATAAATTAAAAATTAAAAAAAGTAAAAATTAGAAAGAAAAAAAAATAATAATAATAATAATAATAAAATCTCGAAATAAAAAAATAAAAATGTATACAATGCGTAAATTAAAAAGTTTGAATTTTTTTTTACAAATCAGTACATATACGTATACATATTCAATACAAAGCGAAGTATATATTCAAAAATATTTATATATTAAAAAGATTCCAAACGTTATGTAGATTTAAATTCATTTGTTAGTATTTATTAAAAAAAGTTAAAAAAAAACAGTCAAAGAGAAAATCAAACAAGAAAGATATATATGTATATATATATATATAAAAAAAAAAAAAAAAAAAAAAAAAAAAAAAAAAGCTTTTTATCAAATTTATCAAAAAAATATTATTTTTAAAAAAATGAAAGAATGTATGTAATGTTTGAGTTTAGTAAGTGTTTTTTTATAGTTCTTTTGAATATATCAATAGATTTTATTTTTTTCATATTGTCGTCAAGAACTGACTTCCACAAGCGTGGCCCCCGACATGTAATTGAGAAGTCAGATTTTTTGTGTGATGTTGGTGGGATGTAGTAATTATTTATTGAGTGTCTTGTTTCATATTTATGGTTAATTAGAGAGAAACCTTTATAAAAATATTTTGGAATTAGTTCATTTTGAAGTTTAAACATAAATAACAAGTTATGGTATATATTTAGTTCATATACGTTTAGCGCATTAATTTCCTTGAGTAACGGCTTGGCACTTTCGTACCTATCTGCGCCCAAAACTAATCGACTTGCTTGCTTTTGTTTAGTATAAATATTTTTTAGGAAAGATGAATGATTGTTTGCCCAGGCAACATTACAATAGTTAATATGACTATGTATTAATGAAAAGTATAAGTTTTTTAAACATATTTTATTCAAAAGATGTTTTGTCCTGTACATAATCCCCACAGTCTTTGAAACTTTGTTCTCGACTAACTTTATTTGGCTTTTCCAATTTAAATGTTCATCGAAATTTATTCCTAGTATTTTCATTGAAAAAACTCTTTTTATTTTAATATTGTTAATTGTTAGTTCTGGAAGTTTAAGTGGAAGGTTCTCGGATTGAGATGGTTTAGCAAACAAAATATATTTAGTTTTTTCAATATTTAATGATAGTTTATTTGCTATAAACCACTCATTAAGATATATTAGTTCAGCGTTTACATAATAAAAAATATTTTTTAAATTTGAGTCAGAAAAGAAAACATTAGTGTCATCAGCAAAAATAGTATAATTAAGTATTTTTGAAGACAAAAAAATATCATTGATATAAACTAAAAACAATAAAGGTCCAAGTATTGATCCTTGTGGAACTCCGCAACTTATTGATTCAAATGGGGAGCATGTTAGATCATATGGTACACCTTGTTTACGGTTTTCTAAATAACATTGAAGCCACTTTAAATTAGAGTGAACTACTCCGTAACTACGTAGTTTGTAGATAAGAATCTTGTGGTTTACAGTATCAAATGCCTTTGATAGATCTAGAAAAATTCCAAGTGTGTAACAATTGTTTTCAAAACCTTGTAAAATTTGGTTCGCAAGATCAATTACGGCATGTTCCGTAGAATGGTTTTTTCGAAAACCAAACTGTTTATGATAAAGAATATTATTTTTTTCAAGATAATTGTACAGCCTGTTGAACATAATACGCTCTAATATTTTGGAAAAACAGGAAAGTATGGAAATCGGTCTATAGTTAGATATTATTGAGTCATCGCCGCTTTTGTATATTGGAATTATTTTTGCTAATTTAAGTTGGTCGGGAAAAATGCCGTTTTTTAGGGATAGATTAAAAATTATGAAAAGGGGTTTCTCTATGATATCAGAGACAGCTTTTACAACATCAGGTTTAATTTCATCCAGACCCGCACTTTTATTTGATTTAAGCATACTAATCGCTTGCCGAAGTTCTTCAATCAAAAGCTCTGACTCATCCATGAAGAAATCAGATTTTTTCAAAAAGGATTTAAATGATTTTTTTCCCTCCGGAATTGCATCGGCTAGTTTTTTTCCTATATTTATAAAAAAGTTGTTAAATGTTTCTGCAATTTCTTTATTTACAGAAGCATCACCTAAATTGTCATCTCTTTGTAATCTTTTTGGGAAATTGTCTTTTTTTACATTACCCACGCCTGTTATTTCTTTAATTACATTCCAAGTTTTTCTTGCATTGCCAAATGTTTTATTAAGTAATGAAGAGTAGTAATTTTTTTTTGATTGCTTTTTTAATTTTTCAAAATAATTTTTATATTTTTTGTATTTTATTTCGTTTTTGTAGTTCTTTTTTTTAAGAAATTTTTGGTAAAGTTTTTGTTTCTTTTTTGACGACTTAATGAGTCCTTTCGTCATCCACGGACTAAGCAAACTTTTAGGTTTAATAATTTTTTTAAATTTTGGAAAGGCCTTTTCGTATTGCTTAGTGAACACGTGAATAAAAAATTCATAGCCGTTATTTACGTCATTGCAATCAGTCAATAGTTCCCAGTTTACTTCTTGTAAGAGGTCTCGAAACGTGGCGAGTGATTCATTATTTATTTTTCTTTCATATACAGTTTTTGTTTTTGTATGTTTCTCAGGGTTTGCAGAATATGTACTCAGAAAAACTGGAAAATGGTCAGTTATATCTGTTTTAATAATACCACTTTGCCATTCCACGCTTGTGTAATTGTTAGTAATAATATTATCGATAATGGATGCAGTTGTTTTAGTCACGCGTGTTGGCTTGTTAATCATAGGGAAAAGGTTGTACTGCAAAAGTGTATTTGTAAAACGCACGACGTGGTTATCTGTTTTATAATTCAAAAAATTCAAATTAAAATCACCTAATAAATACACATGTTTTTTTATGAGCTTTGGTAGCAAGTAGTTTAAGTGGTTTTCAAATTGATTGTAATTACCATTAGGTGGTCTATATAATGCTGTTATAAATGCATTTTTATTTGTTTTATTAATTATTTCAATTGTAAATGACTCACAATCAACGTCATTTACTTTGAGGTTTTCTATGTACTTAAAAGTCAATGAGTTTTGGACGAAAATTGATA